TAAGAATATCATCAAGAACGTTTCATTCGTTACCTAATGAAAAATTTAACCCTTTCTTTAGGAGAATCACGACTTCAGAAGCAAGAGCGACTGAGGATAGGCTTGCTACCTTATCCCTATCATCGTTTGTAAAGGTTGATTTCTTCAATACAAAACCATCAAAACTTGCTCTCGTTAGCCTGACTTCATTTGTTTCTTTGACAAATTGCAGTGTGGTGTTAAGAATGGCAAGGCTCACTGACAATGCCGACTAAAATGCCGGCGAAATGTCTGGCAATATATAAATTCCGCGGTCGGACTCCAGAGAAAGTGTGTTTATCTAGTTCTTCCTGCCAATATGACCAAGTTGCGAAAACAAGGTCAAACAACTTATATACAACGAAAGGAAACGGCTTCCATACAAAAGATCACCGTCTTGGTCTTCATATCTTCGGCTCAACTGCCATATTTTTTATCTACCTAGTTGCATCAGTTACAAATATGTATGGCTTTTTCTGCTATCATATGTTGTTTCAAACTTCATAAAGCTTTTGTCTCAGCCCGAATAAGTTTGGAAGCCCTCTGATGGTTATAAACCTGTGTTTTGTTTTTGTTTGATTAAACCTAAAATTAGGAAACTAAGGCCCTGGCCTATTGACGCTCTATTTGACTTAGCTTTGCATTTGCTCAGTATATTGCTCTCTATCGGTGGTTAAATACTTTTGCAGACTTGTTTTAAAATAAATTAAAAAAAAAAATGTATTAAAAAAAAAACTTTTGAAAAGTATTTTAAAAAGTGTCCTCACTTTATCTCGAATTCTTTGCACAAGGCATGTATATTTATCTTATTTTGCAGTCTTTCTGGTTTAACTTCTGATAAACGCCATCTCCGACCCAAGCGAACTTGTAACCGTGTGGACGCCGGCTCACCTCTCCCTGGAAGATGTGAGATGGAGTCAGGTAGAGGCTCTGCCACATCGAATCCACTTAAGGCACTCTCGCTGCACTCGAACCTTCGTGACGAATATGAGGAGTCGGTATGTCTTTTAGGCTCAGCTGACTCGTGCAGAATTCGCAGCTCTACTCAATTGGTGGAGCCAATAGTCGAGCTGGAAAAAGAGGCAACCGGTGAACCAATCTTAGATTCCAAATCTCCCGAAGTCGGCTCAGACACTAATGCCTGTAGTCAACGAGTAGTATCTTCCACCGATATCATTTGCCAGAATACACAACAGAAACAGTCGCAAAATAATTACCGATTGACGCCTTTACACCTCCTTAAGAGTCCAGCAAATCCGGGCGATCGAGTTGCAGCTGGTATGTAGTACGAGCTATTACACACGCAGAGTCCCTCACTTCCCTTTACTTTTTTTTTCAAAAATTGCCATTTTTTATTGCCTTCCACTAAAGTTTACTATTTTATATGCCAAACAGAATAATTTTTCCAT